AGTAGATATTTGTTTTGATTGGAAACAACAAAGCGGTGCCGAGTAACAGCTAGCTGAACATTGTACTAAGAGTCAATGACCATTCTCTAACTGCCACCCACCCACCAAAAAAAAACAAAAAAACAACAACCAAAAACAAACAAACAACCCCCCTTCGTTTTCTTTCTTTCCATATCTCTTTTTAACCCACTTGCCGTTTCCACGCACATATATATCAATAACGTTCACAAAGGGATAAAAATTCTTTCCCCTCTCCTCATCGCCTGACCGGGCTTTCATTCCCACCTAAACGTAACAACACCGACTGAAACAACCTGTACCATTTACGAGGATACACATCGGAGAAGGAGAACGGTGGGGTATACAGTGGGGGCGCTGGTGATAGACGTCTATCTTATCTGTTACATTCCTGCGTTACTGATATCCCGCACGCGTAAGAACGGCGGGGCCCCGGAGGGCCTGCAATTCTTCATCTCGTCAAGTCAGCTGCGGGCTACTCCGGCCAAGACGCCAGGGGTCCCCCCGACACTGGTGGCCGCACGGATACATCTTAGTATGTGAGAGCCTCCAGGCATCTCATCCCCGTCAGTCCTAGGTTGGTTTGTGTGCTTTACGGCGAGTCAGCACGATTGTGGTACAATGTACATAATACATGTACTATCATTCTACAATATATATCGTCGTGTTTCATCAAGAACGAGCGGGAAATATTGCACGTCAATGGACCAGGGAGAAAGACAACTGGGGGGAGGGAGAGAGACAGAGACAGAGAGAGAGAGAGAGAGAGAGAGAGAGAGAGAGAGAGAGAGAGAGTGGGGGGAGTAGGAGAAGGGGAGGGGGTATGAGGTAAGAGGAGGAAGAGAAACAGAGACACCAAACTTCCAACGGCCACGAAGGAAACAGGCATGGTCTTCAACATCCTCCCAAACCACCCTCTAAATTCCCAAACATTTCTCTTTTGCCTACCCCTATGAGTGTCCGCCCTAGAAACACACTGACCTGGCAACCAATCTGTCTATCTTTAGGTGTAACCAACTCCTAAACCTTTCATTTAAGTGTGCCACTTATCATCAGCGACTGGTTGACCCGACAGTCCTCACAGCACAGACTATAATTTGTTGGG